TTGTTAGTGAGCGCAGTCCCTGTTGATCGCGGTCCCCGGTGAAGCAGGAGGAATAATCCATAATGTGATAGCTGAGGCTGTCTTATCCAGACAGGGGGGGGGGGGGGGGGGCTGGGTACCTGTAACCAGAATGTACTGTGTTTTATTAATAGACAATTAGACATGAAGGAGAGGTTGGTGCGACTTCGGCGATACTTGGGGAATTGTGTGTTGCTTCCTCCATAGGAGCTCGTGCTTTTCCTGCCAACTTGAATTCTCAATTGACTGTCTCACGACTGCCATCCGGAGGACACGAGAAGTCCATCGAACCTTCCACTCGCCAAACCTGTTAGAAAGCACCACTCCCTGCTCAATACACAGTGTTTCAGGGAATTCACCCCTCATCAGTTGAGCTTGAGTAGGCCGAGGAAGATTGTGCCTGAAGAACACCACTGTGCGAGATTTATGAGTGTCAGTTGTCATGTTGTCAAGGAGGGAGTGTGCGAGATTCACGAGTGTGATTTTGAGTGTGATTGGACAGGACACTGCGCTGAAATAGAATGAGTGTTGTTGTGATAACATCATTTACGAGTGTGTTGTTACAATACAGTGTTTGTTGTGCGTGTTTGTCGGATACGCCGATATAATCAGTTGCATAGATAATACTTACGTTGTTGCTTGCATTCTCGCTCTCCACAGCAACTCCACTGCGTGCTGCGTTCTATGTATTCCTATTCTGTACACTGACTCTCTCTGACAGGGTTTGCTGTCACCCTGTCTCTGGGCGCAAGCACCCTCTGACAGACCAAACTGATTTGCTTCATCTCCACAATATTATTTTATCTCCTTTCGATTTGAATTTCTGTTTGTTCTGCACTCTGATTTTTCCTTGTTGCACCTGCGCTTTTGTACGCGGAACTTTGCTGTCGCCATCGCGTCGCCATTATTTATATCCATGGTTACGTTGTGGTATGACTCATCGATGCATCATGCATGATCATTCTGCTTTTCTACTCGTACACTTCGATATGCATGCACGCACACTGCAGTACACGTAAGCCAATGCACGCACGCGGGCACGTTTTGCTGATGACAGCGATTTGGCGATCGTTGTTGTTTGTTTTTCTGGTTGATTTGAGAGTATGGTTGAAACCAATAAGTAAATACAGTCTTCTAGTTGTCTCCACGAAAAGGCCAGGAAATCGCGCTACAACAGGGGTCTGAAGATCGCGTAGTTTTTAGTTGTGGTCGATAATTTCACATGGTCCTTCGAGCCGGATCGTGGAGCTTGAGATCGAGAGTCGATTAGTGTTTTAAAATTGAGAAATTTGGTCAGTCATGGAGGAGAAGGAGGAGTCCAGAGAGACGAGTGAGACCACTAGCTCTGGGACAAAACAACCAGCAGTAGAAGCGTCGGCAAAGACGCAGGATCAGCTTGTTTTGCGCAAGAAGCGCAGGGTGCGTGGGGGCCATCGGGGATCGTGCACGAGATGCATGGGCGAGTTCCAGCACGTTGTGGACGAAGCTCGATATCTGAATGTGTTGGCCGACGATGTCCGTGCGTCTGTGCGTCATGCACGCAATTTGCTGGCGTGCAAGAGGGAGCTGCTGGCCGCTCTAGACGCAGAGGTCTTGGATTTAGTGTGTGACGTCAGTGATGGAGACGTTGAGGAGGAAGTCATGGAGGCGGATGACTGGACACTGAAGCTGCAGACGTTCTGCAGCACACTGGACCGTATATTGGATTTCCCAGCAGAGGAAAAAGCACGTACCCGTGATGACCGATGCGCCAGTACACTGGGAGAGAGTTCAGAGAGTACTGCAGACTCGGGCAAAGCAGTCAACCCGATCACTGAGGACGCCGCAAGTGATAATACTAGTACTGAGAAGCTTGCTGCCCTTACAGAAGAGAGTGTTGTGGCGTCGTCAGCGTCCAACTCACAGTTGAGTACGCTGTCATCAGTGTCGGCCAGTGGCAGCTCTGCCAGAGTGAAGCTGCCGAAACTAGAGCTCGGCAAGTTTGGTGGCAACGCTATGGAGTGGCAGCATTTCTTTGATGTGTTCAAGTCGCTGATCCACTCCAATAGCGGCTTGACAGACACGGATAAGTTCACATACCTACGTAGCAGTGTTTACGGAGCAGCAGCAGCAGTGATCAGTGGTTTGAGCCTCACAGAGGCGAATTACGCAGCGGCAGTCAAGTGTCTAGAGCAGCGGTACGGAGATCCGCAGCGTATAATCAGTGCGCACATGGATGCCCTGCTGAACTTGCCAGGTATCAGCAATGAGCATGATCTGTCGGGCCTCCGCAAATTGCTGGACAGTGTAGTGAACCACGTGCGGTCGCTGGAGAACATGGGTCGGAAGACCGAGCATTATGGAGACATGTTCGCCCCAATTCTTCTGCAGAAACTGCCAAAGGCGGTGCGCCTGGATGTGTGCAAAGGTGTAGGCGATGCGTCCTTCTCGTTGCAAGAAGTGCTGCGGCAGTTGCGGGAAGAAATAAGAACCAGGGAACGCTGTTCCTATGTGTCCAGCGTCCAAAGTGGCACCAGAGAACCAAGCCGGGGCGCCATGGCAACAGCGGCATCACTAAACACGACAGTGCACAATATGGCGTGCATCTACTGTGGGCGGGACCACGCTACCGCGTCATGTTCCGTTGTAACCAGTGTGGCCAAGCGGAAAGATTTGTTGATCCAGCAGCGCCGCTGTTTTGTGTGCACAAGGAAAGGGCATATAGCAGCCAAGTGTATGTCTAGACACGATGTGGCAAATGTGATAGACGGCATCACACCACCATTTGCGCAGACGGGCAGCAGACATTCTCCGGAACGTGCTCCGCCATGTCGCAGGCATCGGCACCGCTACTCCAGACGGCCAAGGCAGCGGTGGCCTCACCGGAAGACCCGAACCGTCAGCTCAAAGCCCGCATCTTGTTGGATTTGGGCAGCCAGCGGTCATATGTAACAAACAGCCTACGTCAACAGTTGGACCTGCCGACGGACCACACGGAGCAGCTGGCCATACGTGGTTTTGGCACACAGCACGGGCCGTCAAAGGAAGTCGACGTCGTGCGACTGAGCATCGCAACACTGGAGGGGAGCCCAGTGTCAGTGGCAGCAGTAGCCGTTCCCTTGATCAGCGCGCCGATCAGCCGGCAGTTTCCGACCGAGGTAGCAGAGTCGCTCGCACCGTTCTCGACATTGCAACTGGCTGATGATTGCACTGGCGCGGCCAATGTGGACATCCTGATTGGTGCAGACCACTACTGGGAATTCACAGAGGGCAACGTCATCCGTGGCAGTGATACCCTGGTTGCCATAGCGACAAAGCTTGGTTGGGTTTTGTCCGGTTGTCCCAAGCCGTCAGCACCAGATTCAGCAGCAACGCACGTGTTCGCGGTCACGGCTGGGCACCTAGAGCAGCAGCTAAAGCGGTTCGGGGACCTGGAGTCTCGCGGTACCCAGCCCATGGATGGGAACCCAGTGCAAGCAGTGGTCCGCCAGGACAGGGCCACCACCAAGGTGCACGTGGTGTACGATGCCTCAGCACACTCAGGGAAGAATCCTTCCATCAACAGCTGCCTCCACTCCGGGCCGAAATTGCTGGAGCACATCCCAGACATCCTCCTCCGCTTTCGGTGCTATCCAGTTGCCCTGACTGGGGACATTGAGAAGGCGTTCCTCATGCTCAACGTATGCGAGCACGACCGGAATGCACTGCGGTTCCTGTGGTGGGATCGGCCGTTCTCGAATGAGCGACATGTGCAGGTGTACCGGTTCGCTCGCGTGATGTTCGGGCTCACGTCGAGTCCGTTCCTCCTCAACGCCACACTGAAACATCATCTCGAGCAGTACAGCAGCTAATCAGTGCCAACAGGTGGTGAGTATGGCAGTGCACCAGCAGTCGCATCTTTCTATTCTAGTGTTGTAATGTAGTTGACTATTGAATAGTCAAGGAGGGAGTGTGCGAGATTTATGAGTGTCAGTTGTCATGTTGTCAAGGAGGGAGTGTGCGAGATTCACGAGTGTGATTTTGAGTGTGATTGGACAGGACACTGCGCTGAAATAGAATGAGT